CCTGCTCATGGGCCTGGGGGGGCGGAGACCCCACACAACAGCTGGCGAAGGCCACAAGCAGACCGCTCGAACCCTGGGCTGTTTCCTCTCCTGCCCTGGAGGGAGCTCCCTCACCGCACACATGCACTGCTAACACTACCGCTTCTGAGAAAACAGGAATCACACAGAAAGTTCCATATATCCCAGACGCTGGCTGCGTGGAGACAAGTGAGCCATCGTTACGGGCCGCTTCACCTTGTGCCTCTGACCTTCCTTTGTTTGCCGTGCAGAGGGCAGGCCGCTTCACCTTGTGCCTCTGACCTTCCTTTGTTTGCCGTGAGGGCAGGCTGGGATCCTCCCTTTGATTCAGCTGCACACGTGATGCTCGGCCCCTTTTTGAGCTTTGCAGTTCAGTGGCTAAAAATAGCAGCACTGGCCTGGCTGCACTGCACAGGCAGTTTACATAAGCTGGGGGGGGGGGGGGCAGCCCACGCTGGGGGGGCAGTGAGGGCCGGCCGGCTCAGCAGGCGCCTATCCCCACCCCTCATTGGCTAGTGGCCAAAAGCCAACCAAACGTAAGCAAAGTACGATACTTTCCTAGGAATTAGACACCATTTCTCCACAAACGATAGAAGAAAAAAACGGGAGAAGAAAAAAAGTGGACTTCATACATATTTGATTATCATGAACTAGAAAAACCAGCTATGTATTTTTTACAAATGCTACTAATATGTGTATTTTACAAATGCGACTAATTAGTATTTAGCACACTGTACCTTACAAACACGTCAGCTAACAAGCACTCACTTTTATTCTCCTGCTTAAATACACAAACCAGGCCTGCTGGTAGCCTGAGAGAGAGGCCATTACTGTTATCTGGTTATTCAGATGGTATACAGAAAGTCCCTGGAAATCAATGCTGAACCTACATCTGGGAGAAACAGTTTAAACTGGGTCCGTCAGAGTGTGGATCATTCCCAAGTCACAAAGTACTATTGATGATGCAAACTGCAGGGCTAATTTTGGGGCCTGCGATCATTGTGAGGCACAGGATGGTACGAAATGCTGCCCCACACCCTCCACCATGTAACCAGTGCGCAGAACCGGCCGATCAGTGTGACTGGGAGCCCATTTTAGACATATAATGAGGCTGTTCTTGTAACAGCGCTGCCTTTGTAATCACACTAAGCTATATTTGGCTGCTATCAGAAAACAACATCTACAGTATATTCAGCATCCTTGTGCGGAACTCAAAGGCCCTGACGGGCAGATTCTGACTTTTATAGGAGGTGATGCTCATTGGCTGCCTGGTCCAGACAGCAGGCGGCACACGGAGGCCGTGACAGAGCCAGGGTTCGGGGGGCAGAACCAGGGTTTGGGTGGTGGAGGCGGCATGGGGCCTGGCCAGGGTGGCATTAGCGCCCATCGACATATGACAAGACACAGACTGAAGTATTATGATATTTAAAGGTTTAAAAATATCACAGTACCCACCTCTCTGACTTTCAAAACACACTAGCTTACTTATTACTAGTTAATACAACTTACCATTACACATTTTACCTGCATTTTTATTTTACGGATTTATCGAATGTGATGCATATTCTTGAGAAAGCACAGTTAGCAAGCTATACCAAGGACGATATACATCAACTTAGACAATAAGTACTTGACTCTTAACAGCTTTGCAAGTTTCACTGATGGCATTTTTAAGTAATGTTCTACAATGTACAGTGCAACATTGTCCCCAGAGTTCAAGATGTGGGGCCAAAAAAAGGTGACAAATAAAACCTGCCGATATTACAAAGTACTCGTCAGAACAGCCAATCAAAGCGAAGCATCAGATTAGCAGGGGCACGGCCCTTGCCCCAGGACCAACTGAGCACTGCAGCTAGTGACAATGACCCCCATTATCACAGCGGTGCTGCCACCGTTGGCCAGCTGTCAGGGTCCCGTGACAGAGACACCCAGCAGCCACCCCCAGCCAGCTGTGAAGCCGGGTAACAGGGCAGAGGTCAGGAAAGCACAAGTGCCGTGGGCAGGCTCAAATCATCAACTGGCAACAGGCAATAAGGATGCGCATCAAAACTACAGGAGAGCAGAGGGAGCCATCGGGAGATAAGGATGCGCATCAAAACTACAGGAGAGCAGAGGGAGCCAGCGGGAGATAAGGATGCGCATCAAAACTACAGGAGAGCAGAGGGAGCCAGCGGGAGATATGGTGGCACATCAAAACTAC